GGTCCGTCCGTCCGTCGTCCGTCTGTCTGTCTGTCGGTCTGTCTGTCGGTCGGTCTGTCGGTCGGTCCGTCCGTCCGTCCGTCCGTCCGCCCGCCCGCCCGCCCGCCCGTCCGCCCGCCCGTCCGCCCGCCCGTCCGTCCGGTCCGTCCGTCCGTCCGTCCGTCCGTCTGTCTGTCTGTCTGTCTATCTATCTATCTATTTATTTATTTACTTATTTATTTATTTATCTATCTACCTACCTGCCTGCCTGTGTCTGTCTGTCTGTATGTTTGTCTGCCTGTCTGTCTATCTTTTTAGATTTTCTAGTTTTTTTTTTGTCTGCTTCAATTCAGCACTTATTTTGAACTTTAACACTTCACCTAATCACAAAAACAATCGGTAATGCTTAGCTCTGGCAGTGCCAAGCCACCGTTACCGCTAGTAATGGCACTCCTGCACCGCGCTATTTTATTCTAAACTCTGCACGGAAAATATCAAGCGTCGCTCGTCATTCGTCAATCCTCATAATCTTCAATAGGTGCGGTGGGTATAAACTTGTCGCTGTTCAGCTTTCTTAGAACTGTCTTCACAGCCTCTTCCTTATTTCGACGAGGGAACGAGGTATACCACCCAGTCTATAAGTATTATGCGGTGACATCAATTAGAACTCTCGGGGTGACCACGAACGAAATAGCAGACATGTCTTGCCTTATTTCACGTGGACTGTTGCTGTCAGCGCCAAAGATTTGCCACGTCTTGTTATATCTTTTCCAGAAACGTTCTGTTTTAGTTTGTTCACGCGCTGGACACGCACTTTTTTTTTATTTTCCTTCTGACGTGATCTTAGTCAGGTTTCTCTTTGCGTTCCCTTTATTTCCGTTTCACTTTTTTAGCCACTTTACTTTGCCGTGATGTCGTCTCACGACGAGATGCTCGCTACGACATATATCCTGAATAAATAACCACCGTCACAAACTCTGTTGTATAAATGGACTAGGACGAATTTTACTAGTAGAAAAATAGATAGATCCACAGGTCGTCACAAATACACACCAATTTCGTTTGCTACTTTAGTTTTTTGAACTGCCCTATAATGTTCGGTGATTTCAACTTTCGTTGTCATTCATCGTAGCGTTGTACAGAGTATCGGCCCCACTATCCAACTGATTGCTGCTTCGTTTACTCGCACTTATTTAGCGCACTACCAGGCTACACTACACTGCTACTCGGCTCTACAGGATTATCTCCACTCCTGAAGGAATGGGCTTTCACAGTCAGCACATAGACCGACACCGACAGTACGGACTACCAACACGTTCAAGCAACTCTATTTCACGCAGAGCCTATGTCAGCCTTCCGTTCTCGTAGTCAACTACTAGAGACCCGCAGCACTCCGAGTCTTTCATAATCGGCTGGCCGGCAGTTATCGTCGGGCGAGTCGCGTGCTGCTTCGGCCATACCGCGGATGACCCTCGCCGAATTGGGAGAGGGCAGATAATACAAATGCACGTATACTCAGCGGGCTTGGGTTTCCAGTGAGAGCTAATTCGTCGTCAACTCGCTAATACTGCCACTGCGACGGAGGAAATTCTGTGTTCTTTTCGGTCTGCCATTTGACTTGGGCGACAGACTGGGCCGTCGATTACAGGTGGCGAATTTCAGAAGAAATCTAGAGAAGTTCGTCGGCGCACAGCTAGATATGGACAAACTAATCCGCATAGCTCAGTCAGGGTACTGTGCCGCGAAGGTAGCAAGTAACCGTTGCATGCTTATCGTCCCGTTGAGTCTACTGTTGCTTTTGCTGGGAGCTGATCTGCGCCAAGGAGACTCGTTGCGGGTGATGAAAAGGGAGATTTCATAGATGCAGAAAGGCTGCACGCTGCGTAGCTATTGTAAGGATATGTTAGGGTTCCATTGTTGAATCGGTGTGGCCCTGTCGAAATGCCGTACTCGTCGCCACCGCGTTCGAGGCAGCTATTGCAGAAAGTTGGGCCGTCGAAAATCTTTGTTCTATCTGGCTGGAGTTGATTTTGAATGCGGATCGATGGTTCACGACCGTTGCAGTTTCGGAGTTCATAGTGATCTTTCGATTTTTCCGATTGATGTTATGTGATTGGAAAGAATAACTCTGACTAGATCTGAGCTAGAAATAGAGCAACGGTGACTACCCAAGTCAGTAAATTGTGGTGGCGGACAATTACATTTAGAGGATTGGCACTTCTTTTGAAGATGTTCTGATTGGTGAACCCAACCAGTCGGTTGTTAACGCCAATGCTAAGGGATATAGTAAAGTAGAAAAGGTAACGTGAAAAAGGATAAATTACGAAATTTGTATTATAAAGACCTGTACCTTCAATGCATAATAGTATTCGGCACGGTCAGCGAAGAAAACACCGCAACCAGCAAGTACAGTATAGGAGATAAATTAGCGCTAAGCGCCGTAAGTTCTCAAAAAGATGCGAAATAAATAAGAGGCAGGAATCCGTGTAAGACAAAATTTGGGCCTTTGGCTCTAACAACCTGGGGGCTAGTTCTACTGTACATTGAAACTAAGTACGATTATTATAGCCACGCGTCCCAGTTAGTTTGTATTTTTCGGGTATCTTTTTTCTGCTGCTGACGATTTCACAAGGATCAACGTTTAGATGTACGAATGTAAAGATCTACTTGGGGTGCGTCAATAGTGGGTTCATTTTTCTCGAGAAAAAATTCGTTTTTTGCTGTAGTGAGATTACATATCAGACTTAATAACTTGGAGTTAGTTAAAGTTCTTACAAGGTGAGTGCCCTGTAGACATTTATGGTCTCAAATGATCTCCTCGTTCGTGTCTGAGGTTATAATTTCAGCGCGAGTATGTATAAAGCAGGCGTTATTCTAAACTGTAAAAAGAACGAAAGCAATTTTCTTTTGGTTCCATCCGAACACCGCAGGATATTTATGCTATAAGATGTTTAATTTAGCACAATCAAAATATAAAATATTTCAAAAATATAAACTGTAATAGCTAGACTAGTTACCTGCTATAGTTGTGTTCAGTGTTGAAGCATGCAAAAAAGATATGGAACTTATTAGAGCTAATAGTTTGTAAAACTATCATATAGAAAAACGCAAGCAAGAGCGGCTGACACACCGCTTCGGATCAAACCGTGTTCTGACGCTGCATGCCCTAGTGCAAATAATCTTTTCAGGAACTATTGATTGAACACTGTATCAATACGAAATAAGACCGTATCAGTATTCTATTAAGCTCAGACCGAATGGTATGCTATTGATCAGAGAAACTGCAACAGAACATTCACCACTACAAGTGCACGGCTTGATTAGGATTAATTAGACCACATTAGGAGACACTCAAGGAAATTCTTCACATCGTAAACATAAAGCAGTAAACAGATGCTGGAGCTTCGTAACGATGCCAGCTAGAGAAACGCAAAGCCCTTGCAGATTAGGAGTGAGAAGAAGGCCAAGGACCTTGCATTGTCGTTCTTCACAGCACATCTGAATTGGATGGTGCTCAATCAATCGTCTGAAAATGCCCTCATTAACCCAAGCTGCAGCTATCTTTATCTTATGGCTCACGGTGAACGGCCCATCTAGTCTGGACGAAACTGAAACAAAGGCTTAACGGCTTTCATGAAAATACCGAAATGTATTGTAAAGCCGGACTTCTAAGGATTTTTTTTTCAGTTTGAAAACAATGTCTCAAGGTAGTTGTGAGTAATTGAAAAACGTACCTGAACTACATGACTAGGATCAGAGCTATTTTGATTGTTTCAGATCAATGGCTGTGAGGCTGGCCCCACAACGCCGAACATTTCCATTACATTTGTGCATATGGACACCCTTATGCCTGTCATTCAGCGGTTTCGCATGATTGAGAATCTTCGAACAACGGCCATCGTTGAACGTACTTTTAAATAAACGTTTAATAAATCTTCATCAATCATTTTTTACAATGTATTTTCGCCCAGAACAAGCATTTAAATTGGATTCAACAGAATTTCTGCCGATTTTTGCAACTATCATTTGTTTTTCTAAAAATGTATATCTGTTCTTGTTCTATAGCCAGCTTTGGACCGACATTTTCAGTAAAGCGTAACTTAATATGCCGTAGACTCTGTGCTAGGACACATGTTCCCATCTAGGCGCGAGATACTAGGCTATCAATAACAGTAAGGGTAAGTCAGCCGTGTTGGCGTTGGTGAATGAGATCGGTAACGATGCGATTTTGACATGAGCACACTAGGAACAGTAGGGCTGTCCACTGATTTTCTATGGACATATAGTGCTACTGAGATCATACCGGCTTCTCGTGGAATTGCTTATCTAATACACTTGATGTAACACGAACGCAAATAAATGATTTTAGTAAAAAGCTTCACATTATTTTATTAAAAATTGTGTCGGTTCCAATAGATATAGGGCAAGAACAAATGACAGGAAGACTGCCATAATTTTTCACTTAGTAATTTCCACAACATGCGCTGTTTTTGGGGTTGACAGCAAAAAATTACAGTTTGGCTGGTTTGCAGTTATTTATGTACATCTAGCAATTTCTTTAAACGGCGGTTAGTTTTGGGGGGATCCAGCATTCGTTGCTTCTATTTGAAGTATTTTCAATATTAATTAGAGTACACGTCCACCGACCAGATTACGCACCTGTCTGACTCGTTCCTACTACGGTTTGCAGTAGAATTCCCTGAAAT